GACATATAGAAGACTGGAACCGAACAGAGAGTCCAGAAAAAAACATCCATGCATATATGGCCAAATAATTTATCACAAAGGAGCCAGGAATATACAATGAAGAAAAGAAAGTCTCTTCAATAAACAATATTGGGAAACTGCACAGCCACCATCAAAAGAATGAAATTGGAACACTATCTTACAGTATACACAAATATTAACTCAAAGTGGATTAAAGACTTGAATGTAAGACCTGAAACCATAAAACTCCTATGAGAAAACGACTACAAGTTTACAGGGCCATAAACTCCTTGACATTAGTCTTGGAGATGATCTTTTGGATTTGGCAACAAAAGTAAAAATAAACAAGTGGGACTACATCAAACTAAAAAGCTTCTGCACAGCAAAGCTATCTGCATATCTTCTGTATAGCAAAAAAGGCAACCTATCCAATAGGAGAACATATTTGCAAATCATGTATCTGATGAAGCATTGATATTGAAAATATATAAAGAACTCATACAACTCAAAGCAAAAAACAAACAACCCAACAAAAAAATGGGAAGAGAAACTGAACAAATATTTTTCCAAAGAAGATACACACAGATGGCCAACGGGTACATTAAAAAAGTGCTCAACATCACTAATCTTCAGTGAAATGCGAATGAACCCAGATATCACTTCACACCTGTTAAAATCACTACTATCAGAAAGACACAAAATAAGGATGAGGATGTGGAGAAAAGGAAACTTTTGTGCACTGTTGGTGGAAATGTAAATTGATGCAGCCACTACAGAAAACAGCAGGAAGTTTTCTCAAAAAATTAAAAATAGAACACCCATATAATCAAGCAATTCCACTATGCATGTTTATCCAAAGGAAATTAAAACACTAATTTTAAAAGATATACACACCCACATAATTCATTACAGCATTATTTACAATAGCCAAGGCACAGAAGCAAACTAAGTGCCCATCAATGGATAAATGGACAAAGAAGATGTAGTATATGTATGCAACAGAATATTATTCAGCCATAAAAAGAAGGAACTCCTGCCATTTATGACAACATAGAACAACCTTGAGAGTACTATTTAGCATAATAAACTTAGCATGAAATAAACCAAAGACAAATACCATGTAATCTCACTTATACGTGGAATCTTATAAAAAAAAAAAAGAACTCATAGATAAAAAGAATAGATTGGTGGCTGCCAGAGGCGGGAGGTTGGGGGTGGGGTGAAATAGGTGAAGGTGGTCAAAAGATACAAACTTCCAGTTATAAAATAAATAAGTCCTCAGGATATAATATACAGCATGGCAACTATAGTTAATAATACTGTATTGTATATTTCGAAGTTGCTAAGAGAGTAGATCTTAAAGCTTCTCATCACAAGAAAAAATTTTGCCATTAAGTGTGGTGATGAATGTTAATTAGATTTATTGTGGTGATCTTTTCCCAATATACACATATATCAAATCATTATGTTGTACACCTGAAACTAATGTAACATACATCAATTATATCTCAATTTAAAAAACAATTAAAACAACCCCCACTGCAAAAATTGTGAGAAAGACAAGGAATTATGGAAGACGCAGAGAATAGTGAAGAAGAACAAAAAATTGTGAGTGAGACTGGGAACTGTGGAAGAGAATAAAGATTTGCAGGAGGCATGAGGAATTCTGGGAAAGGACAGAGAAATGCGGGAAACACTGAGAATTGTGGGAAAAAAAGAACTATGGAGAAGAGGGAATCATGAGAGAAACTGGGGAACTGTGAAAGAGAATGCTACAAGAAAACAGCTGTGAGAAAGAATGGAGAATTGTGGAAGAGATGGGGAATTATAGGAGAAATAGGGAATTATGGGAAAGAAAGGAGAATTGTGTAAGGGAGGAGGAATTGTGAGAGCTCTGAGAACAAAAGCAACACTTTGTAAACATAAGCAATTATAGGTTTGGAAAGGAGACTCACTTTACCAGGATCAGTCATAATTTCAGTTCGTAACTCTAAAAGAGATCTGATTTTTCCTCTCTCCTCAACCCTGGCTCTGACAGCAACAGTTCCCATCACATTACCATGGACTGGCAAACCTGTATACACCGCCTTGTATATGTGCATGTCCACACACATGCACATACTCACATACACATACACACGCATGCATAGACAAGCATACACACATACATACAAGCACATATACACACATCCTGGAAACTTCAAACATAAACAGAAATCAACCTAATGAAATGGTGAGGAAATTTTTTAAATCTCCTAAAAAAATAAAACAAAATGAAAAAGTCATAGAAAATGAGGGAAAATATATGAAAATCAAACTGCCAGTCTAGGAATCCAACAATAGGTGAGTAATAGAAGTTCCTTAAATGAGAGAAGAAAGAAAGAGGAGGGGAGCAAGTTACTAAGAAAATTATTAATACAAGAAAATATCCCCCACATGAAGGATATGGGTATCTGGAATGAACAGTCCCATCAGGTGCCAAGCCAGTGAAAGCAAAGAGGTCTATATCAAGGCATATCTTTTCAGGCCACGGGAAGAAAGAGATGTCAATATCGAGGAAGAAAAAAAAAGAAATAGAGATTTCTCAACATCAACACTGGAGACTAAAACACAATGAAGCAACCACTTAACAATTCTGAAAGAAAAATTTCTACACCTAGAATTATACATCCAAACTACCAATCAAGTGGGAGGGTAAAACACAGACAGTTTCTGATTTTTCAAGACCTCAAACCTGATGTGCTCCCAAAACAATGCAAAGGAGAATACATGGTATCCAAGAACCAGAGATCCAACACCAGACGGGAAAAGGTTGAAAGCAAGTCCCAGGAAGGAAACTGCAGAGGTGAGATGTTTATCCAAGAGTGAGGTCTTAAGGATTAAAAAAAAAAGGAAACATATAGAGTAGTTGATGTATATGAATGTGTTGGGAGGAGATTTACAATACCGGCAGGAAATTTAGGGATAATCATTTAAAACTAGACAAAGGGAAAACACAAGGCAAGTATTACATTTTAGTGGAAAAGGAGTTTCTCCTTCCTTTCTATCCACTCCCTGCACATCACCCCCACCTTGCTTTTTGCCCAGGAACAGTCTGCACATACATGTACTGAGATGTAAATATGATGATTTGTTTGCATGCCTGTTTCTTCAATTACCAAGTGATTTTGCCCACGTGCCCCTTTGAATCTGGTGATGTCTGTAAGTATCTTCTCACAATAATATTTTTACATGCATAAAACAAATACAAGAAATTATAGAAGAGATCAATTACAGTCACCCCTCAGTATCCACAGGGGTTTGGTTCCAGGACCCAGCGCAGATGCCAAATTCCAAAGATGTTCAAATCCCATAGTCAGCCCTCCATATCCATGGTTCAACCGACCCCAGATCGTGTAGTACTGTAATATTCATTGGGGAAAAAAATCCAAGTATAAGTGGACATGCGCAGTTCAAGCCCATGTTGTTCAAGAGTCTACTGTATATTGGAATATAGTTATCAACATATTAAAAAAACAGATTTTGATTGTTAAAGGCTAGGTTCCCCAGGAAATACACACCAATGTAATACAGTTTTTTAAATGCTGTCTTGATCCAGTGTTGAGGCTCTGGCTAGAGGCTGGTCACTTCCTCTACATGAGCAGCTAAACCCACATCCAACAACCACCTCCCTTATTGGGATCTCACACTCTTGGCCACTATACACCTACCCTAATCACCCCAGGGCCAAGTACCAGACCACTGGGGACAGCCCCTACACTCCAGAGCCTGCTGAAATTATTCAAATTAGTCAATCCTAAACCTGCATACCCTGCTTTGCCCATTCCTTCCCTTGGAAATCATAACAAAGGCTCATGCCCATAGTTCCCCCCTCTTCCCCTGCCTGGTGATCAACCCCAGTGCCTCCCCACGTGACTCCCCATGGTGTCATGTGTACTCCCTCTCTTGGGATCTGCGAGTATAATAAACTATCTTTTTAATGACCGTCATTTCTTGATTTGTTGGCCTCACCAAACCTAAATAACAATTAAATTTATTAAAACGGCTGACTTCCCCAACATTTGTGCATGCATATACTCTCCTGAACAGCTTCGAGAGAGGGTGATGGAAAGACTGGGCAGAGGGAGAAACTGAACTGTGATGCAGTCAAAGCGGAAGCATCTGCTGATCCATACGAGCAGCTCTGAAGCTGGGAGGGCCCCTCTGAGTTGTCTCCCTTGAGGTGAGGGACCTGGGCTTATGTATCCTTGCAGACATTACTCATAGGCTGCTGCCTGTCCCCAGAAAAGGAATGTGATTTTGCCTGAAGCAGTTCTCTCAGGCAGAGGGCAATTCCTGAAGAGGCTTCACAGACCCACTACGATGATACAGAAAGACATATGCTTCTTATTAATACTTTAAATAATAAGATAAACTTACTGTAATTTCAAAGTAGTGATGAAAACTATTTTGAGAAACAAAAATCACATGTGACATTAATTTCCCTGCGACTGCAATTAGTGCCACATGTAGGTAGCCCTACTAGGATTTGTTGCCCACATTGCTGATGCAAAAAAATACTAAATTTCTGTCAGAGGCAAGTGAAAATACAGACCTTCAAATCCACACACCCAGTTAAGAAAGCCTGGGGAGCCGGGACCTTGTTTTGTTCATTTTTGGATCTCCAGAGTCGGCCACAGTTCAGCACAGCTACTTAAGTTTCTTGAGTCATAACTATAATTAAAACTGACGGGATACCATTTAAAAGACATAAACTGGAAAACTAACTCTCCCAAAGCAACGCCTCTGCAGCTTAAGGCATCTACCGTACAGAGCCTCGCTCCAGCGCGAGCCTCGGGACCGGCCTAAGCTTCTCTCAGCCCGCTCTCGCCCGGAGGGGCGGGGCCAGCGAGCGGCTCTCGCGCTGGTAGGCGGAGGAAGAAGGGGTGGGGCCTGCTCCTTCGTGATTGACGTAAGCGCTTCCTCTTCGGCCCGCACCCTCTTCCCACGCACCGGGAAGTCCCGCCTTCGGAAGAGGAAGTAGCGGTGCGCGCGAGAGCCGGCAGTGACCCGGGCGACAGCGGTGACCGAGAGAAAGGAAGGTGGCGGCCGCGAGTCGCTGCCACTCCGGGCCAGAGTCGGCGGTTAGAATCGGGGCCGGCAGCCCGGACAGAGTCAGGTGAGGAGGGGCGGGCCGGTTGAGGCCAGTGGGGTATGGGATCCCAGGACTGGATGGTGGCACGCGCGAGAGCCGTGCAAGGAAGACTCTGGCCGCTTATTGCTATCCGCTGTCCTTTCCTTCCTTCTTCTAATCTCTTTTCTTCGCCGCCATACCCTTCCCAGATCCCCAGACCCTCGCTAAGCCCCGGGGCCGGGGGCTTAGCCTGGACTGTTAGTTTCCTCTCTCAACCGAATCACCACCTAGAGCCACCCCCACCTTCTCAACCCCCCGCCTAGACCTCCTCGCTCTGACGTGGTTTTTTCAGGGACCTCCTCACCTCACCCCCCAAATCCGCATACCTTTAGAAACGTATCCCCAGAGAGTGGTGTAGATTTCACACTAGTGTTTCCCAAAGTGGGTAGGTAATATGTTAAAGCCGTCCCTCAAAGTGGGTTCCCTGCCCGGTAAGATTCCCATAAGGACAAGAGGAAAAACAAAGGTTGGCCAGATTAAGAATACTAAGGGAGTAGCTGGAGCCCGGGCATCAGCATTAATTAGTCTCTTTGCTTTGGTACTTGTGAATTTAGAATTGCCTGGATTCACCACTGCGATTCCCACCATGGGTTTGTCCTCATCTACCCCTGCTGTTGCAGTTCAGACCCCAAATGCTTCAGATCATCAGACAGCATCCTCGCGGACAGGATGTCCAATGCATGAAGGGAAAATGAAAGGTAATCGACCCTTTTGTCTAGAAAATAAAAACAAAAGAGAATTCTCAGAAGGATTTGGAGGAGGCAGCAGGATAGCATGCCGGTGAGGCTCCTAGGCCTGGGAGTGAGGCAACCTGGGTTCGGTCCTTATGCTGCTGTTTACCAAGGGTATGTGACTGTAGACAGTTTACTTCTCTAAGTCTCAACCCATCATCTGTAAGATGAGGATATAACAACAACATTTCACAGGATTCTTGTGACGATTGAGATAATTCATGAGAGTGTAGGGATTGCTCCATAAATCAGCCCCAACCCTCAAATTTGCCTCTGTCAACATCAGCAGTTTTCAACCTGGGGGGCAGTCTTCTATCTCCCAAGAGAACATTTGGCAATGCCTAGAGGCAATTTTGCTTGTCTACACTGAGAGGAGGGGGTGCACCTAATGAGCAGAAGGCCAGAGTTCTGCTAAACATCCTACAATGCACAGTGCAGCCCCTCCAGCAAAGAATCATCTGGCCCCAAATGTCAAGAGTGCCAAGGCTGAGAAACCTGGGTCTAGATCTAGCTGTTTATTTATCAAGACAACTTTATTCGTGCATCTCTTGGAGTACTCAGCTATGTAAAAATAAATCATTGCCTGATGGACTTGCTGTTCATCCTTTAGGTGCAAAGGTGAGAGTGGGAAAGCTGTCTTTTGGTTCACCTTCTGTTTTAGATTGCCTGTGTAAATACACCTGAATTCACCTGACATTTTAAGTTCTTGTTTCAAGACGTGAGGGGAGGAGCCAGTGTAGCCTGCTTATTACTCAGTGCTGACACTTCCTGGCCTTGTAGTCATTCACTCCCTTGGTCACTCAACAAGGATTTGCTTCCTGCCCACTCTGCCAAGCACAGATGGGTTTTGTTTGCTTTTGCACTGAGAGAACAGCCAAGTATAAAACAGGCTAAAATCCTTTGCCTAATGGAGTTTACGTTCTCATCCTCATAATCCTGCCTGGTAGGTTTTCTCCCTGTTTTATAGTTAAGGAAACTTACAAGTCACACAGGTAGTAAGTGGTAAAGCCAGTGAAAACTCTGCGACCTTGGATCAGGACCAGTCTGGTGCTGAAACAGAGGCAGACTTGGACGAAGCAGGTGTGTGCCTGCTCTGAGCATCCCCAGGAAATCCCAGAACCCTGTCTATGGTTTGATTTTATTTGCTGCAAATCCAAGAGAGCTCTCAGTCTGATTAATTTGCATAGGTAAAGAACGTGGCATTGGTAGGAGATTGAAGGGGCTAGGGTTCTGTTATATGAAAAATGGAAACAGGATTTTCTTTCCAACCTGGGATCAGTGGGATCAGTGACCCAGGAAAGATTGGCTCTTGGAATGGTGGCGAGAGGAGGAGGTGTAACAAGTCTCCCTTTAGTCCCCAAGTAGATAGCTGTCCAGGGTCCTGGGGAATGAGGGTCTGTAGGGAGAAGCAGAGGAATGAGAAGTGAAAGGAAACTTGTCTTTTTCATGTAGGGCATCCAGCCTTCAGTGCATTCCTGGTGTTAACTGCTGCTGCTGAAGATAAGGCTTCCTTTACACGAGCAGCTGTTCCTGGGCCGTGGCTCTCCCTGTGCCTGTCTCCTCTCCTCAGTCTTAGACCGCCTTTTTTTTTTTTCCATACTTTTTTTTTGGTGGGAGGGGGTAATTCGGTTTATTTGTTTATTTATTCTTAGAGGAGGTACTGGGGATTGAACTCAGGACCTCATGCATACTAAGCATGCACTCTACCACTTGATCTATACCCTCCCCCAAGACCGCCTTCTCAGCCCACACACTTGCTTCCATCAGCACGCTGGACCCTTGGGCACAGACTGCCCTTCCCGCTGCTGTTCTCGTAGGTGCAGACCTTTCCTCTTAAGTGGCATCTGGATCCTCCATGGATTGTAGACCGTTTTCTTTAACATGTGCCTTTGCTTGATAAATTTGCTATCTACTGACAAGGAACAGAACCTCAGCCCGGTGGTAGTTTTCAGTGCCTGGTTTTAGTCCTGGAGTGGAGCACAAGCAGAGTGGCACTCTTTGCTCCAGTAGCCTTTTTGAAGATGACTGCTCATATCTCTCTCCTGTCCCCAGTACTTGAGAGACAGCATCCATAATGAAAGCCTGGCCTCCTGTGTCCTGGTTGGAGTTGGGTCTTGTCTGGAATTTGGGGATAGAAATTCAGGGAGACGCAGTCAAGTGTGGCCGGCCCCACTGAGGTTCCTCTGTAGCAGCTCACAGCAGCCGGTGCCAGGAGCTCCCTTCCCCCGTTACTGAAACCCTGGTGTGGGCAGTGCCTTCTCTTGCAAGTGCTGAGACTTTGGGGGTTTACTTTTACTAGGGGAACGACACAGGAAGAGAATGGGTACCTGTTTCTCTTTCAAGGGGAAAGTAAATTTGTAGAACCTTCTCCTGGTCTTTAAGATGTTATACTGTTGGCTGGCTTCACTCGTGGCAGCTATGCACAGTAGAACCCTGGCTTGACCTGGGCTGGTGATCACTGGTCAGAAATTCAGCTCTCTGGGGCCCAGAATGAGAGAGCTAGATATCCTGCCTTTGTGGTGACACTTTCGACACTTGATTTATTGCAGGCTGTCCAGAGAGTGCCCAGCCCTCTGACTCAACCTGCGGGAGCCAAACGAACTCTGTGCCCGCCCACCAGGAGCGCGCGTACGAATACGTGAAGTGCCCCGTCACCGGCGCTAAGGCTGGGAATAAGGAGAACCTAGATCCTTCTAACCTGGTAACCCGCGCCCCGCCCCTCTTCCTGGAAGTGTGTGTGCAGGGGTGCCTTTACAGGCTCCCAAGACAAACTGTAGATGGCTAGGACTGATGATTCTGTCCTTTGAAAACAAAGTCTGATATTCCATCCACAGTGAAAATCCAGAATGCGTTACTAAGTGTAGCTTCAGAGAGCACCTGAGAAAGCAGAGGGCGATCACGAAGTGCCAGAATGGCTTCTCCACAACAGATGGCGATTTCTCACAGTTCTGGAGGCTGGGAAGGCTGAGATCAAGGTGCCGGCAGATTCAGTGAATTTGGGGGGAATGCAAACATTCCATCTGTGGCACCAGTAATGACCCTCCCAAGCTATATGACCAGGACTAAGCCACACCAGAGGACATTTCCTCATGGGGTAGTTATTAGGTAGGCGGGAAATGCCATTAAGAGTGCAGCTAGAATTTGCAAAGGTGCTTCTGGTCTTGGGAAACCTCGTAGGCATGCTGCAAGACTGAGGCACTTCTTGAGGCACCTCTTAAGGCACAGCCAGGTGGCAGCCTGCACGTCAGTCACTGGGGTGGTACAGCGTCACGCAGCCAGCAATGGAGTGCCACCGAGAAAGCAAGGACGACTAGTGTGGCCTAAGTTTTGTGAGAGTCAGACAGTGGAAGGAAGTGTGGCTTCCTGTTTGGAACCCCATATTAATGAAGAGACAGTGGCAGCCTGTACCTTAGAAGGCACAGAATTGCCTCAAGTATTTGGAAATCTTGGCAAACAAGGCAACATTTGAGAGAACTAGAAAAAAATATATATATATATAAATAACAGACTATCATAGATTGAGTGGCTTATAAACAACAGACAGTGATTTCTCACAGTTCTGGAGGCTGGGAAGTCTGAGATCAAGGTGCCAGCAGATTCAGTGAATTTGGAGGGAATGTAAACATCCCATTTCTGGCACCAATAACGACCCTCCCAAACTATAAGGCAACTGCCGTGTTGAGGAAGAAGGTGGCGGTGGGCCTTCTCACCTTTGGCACTGCTGACGTCAAGACTCAGCGAGTCCTTGTGGGCTTTCCTGGGCACTGGAGGATCTGAGCAGCGTCCCTGGCCTCTGCCCACTGGATGCCAGGAGCCCCCTCTCTTCTCAGTTACAACTACCAAAAAATGTCTCCAGATGTTGCCATGAAGGTAGGCTGGCTGACTCTTAAGAGTGTAATGGTTCAGAACACGGGCCTTTCGGAATCCTGCAGGCCTGGGCTCTGACCCAGTGGGATTGTTACATGTAGCAACAATATTAGCCTCGGTGAACTTCTCTGTTGGTTATGTGTGTAGACCCCTTGCTAAGCACCATCCAGCTCTCCTGGAGTGGCGGTGTACCCGTTCTAGAGCTGAAGTACTGAGAGGGAGGGAGGGAGCAGTTTGCCCCTATCACTCAGCTCAGAAGTGGCAGAGTCCAAGCTGAACCCCCATCTGTCTCCAACCTGTGTTCTTAAAGATGCTGTGGTGATAACACCGGTAAAGTGCTCGGGGCCCTGCCCAGCACCCCGGCTCTTCCACTGTGGCCCCTCCAGCCAGGGGCTCAGAGGCTGTCTTGTGGCTGAGACTTCACTAATGTGTACCTCCTGGAAAAGCCGACTTGCTTTCAACACATAAAGATGTTCTAGGCAAGTGGTACTCATCATGGGGTGATTTTGCCCCTGGGGGGACGCTGGTGGTCACATTTGGGGAGGAGAATACCGCTGGGTAGAGGCCAGGGATGCTGCTAAATATCCTACAGTGCTCAGAAGGGACCCCATAACCGGAAGTTGTCCCAGGCCCAAATGTCAGTGGTGCCAAGGGTGAGAAACCTTGGTCCAGGCTGTGTTCCCATGATGCTCTGCTGCCCCTTCTGTCCAGGAGAAAGGATTCTTCCCCTCCTTCCAGTCTGCCAGTGTCAGGACGTCAGTATTCATCTATGATGCACTCAGCCCAAAGGCTGAAAGCATAAGCAAGATCCAGAAAGTAAAGAGTATTTAAAAAGAAAGTGGCGGTGTACACATATTCTATGAGACTTTTCCTCACAAGAGCGAACAGTCATTTTTGAAAAGCCCGTCCTGGAAAGGCAATGCCTGCCCATCATGGCATTAATTTTTGCTTTTTAATCCTTTAGAAGTAAACTACAATTTCAACTGCAGCGTGTATTTACTATTTATGAGAACTTAAACAAAGAAAGACAGCTTCAGTACTCTGACTCTTCAGAACAGCCCAGTTGTCTGAGGTCTGAAACTTTGATGATGCTAGTTTAATAGGGAAACTGTGCTATGTGTGTGTGATGCCTTGCTTTCTAGGAAGTAGGTAATTATTTTGTTTGTTTCTACTTTATTTCCAACTTTTTAAAAAAATCCACTTGTTTTATTTAGATGCCGCCACCTAATCAGACACCAGCCCCCGATCAGCCGTTCGCACTATCTACTGTGAGAGAGGAGTCGTCTATTCCAAGGGCAGATTCAGATAAAAAGTGGGTTTATCCTTCCGAACAGATGTTCTGGAATGCGATGTTAAGGAAAGGGTGAGTGAGCGAGCATATTACTGAGAATATAAATTTGCTTGTTAGATTCATCTAAGAATTAAATGTTAGAAAGGTTTTTAATCCTTCAGCCGTACAGTAAGTTTTTATAATAATCGACTGACTTTTCAGACTTATCAGAATATAAGTACCAGGCCAATGTGTTAGGGTTCTCCAGAGACACAGAACTAACAGGATATGTCTGTCTTTCCATGCGTGTAAGGAGATTTATCATAAGGAACTGACTCACAGTTATGAAGGCTGAGAAGTCCCACAGTCTCCTTTACAGTCCCATGAGAGCCAATATGATATTTCAGTTCAAGTCCAAAGGCAGGAAAAAACCCCCAGTGTCTCAGTTGGAAGGCCGTCAGGCAGAAGGACTTCCCTTTTACTTGCAGGACGCTCAGAGTTTCTGTTCTGTGCAGGCCTTCAGCTGATTAGATGTGGGCATGCTCTGCCCAGTTCAACGTTAATCTCATCCAGAATAATGTTTGACCAAATATCTGGGCACCCCATGGCCCAGTCAAATTGACATATAAAATTAACCCAGCACAGCCAGTAAGACTTTAAAAAAAAACTACTGTATAAACTACTTAGAAGAAGTTAGGGAATCCATGATACTAACGGAAAAAGTGTCACCTTAAAAATACTGGACCCTTGATAGCTGTGTAAATCTGATTTTTGGTGACTGAATGAAATGAATACACGGTGTTGTCAGTATTATGTCAGATTTTACCAAATGCTCTTTCTAGGTGGAAGTGGAAGGATGAGGACATCAGTCAGAAAGACATGTATAATATCATTAGAATTCACAACCAGAATAATGAGCAGGCCTGGAGGGAGATTTTGAAGTGGGAAGCCCTTCACGCCAAGTAAGTATGTTTGCGATCTTAAAAGAAATCCAGCATCCTTCTAATTTCATAGCCGCCTCATATGAAAAGAAATACAGAGACATTTTATTCAAAGAACTATTGCTATTGTAATCAAACATTTTCGGGAGCAGGCCTGTCCCAGTGACTTGTGTGGAAGACCCCCACCCCACCCCAGCTGTGTAAAACAGCAGCTGTTTGATTATGCTCGTGGATCTGGGGAGTCCCAAGTGCAGAAAGGACAGAGCAGGGATGACTCGCCTCTGCTCCCTGATGAGGTCTCAGTCGCCAGGGCTCAGTGGTCAGGGGTGGCTTGACAGCCTTGGGCTGAATCATTTGAAGGCCCCATTTACTCGTCTGGTAAGTGATGCCAGCTGTCAGGCAGGACACCTACCCACAGCCCCTAAATGTGGCTGCGCTGGCTTCTTCCCACCGAGGGGGCCAGGATCCCAGAGCCAGAGTTCCAAAAAGTTCCAGGGAAGCTGCATCTTCTTTGACCTGGTCTGGGAAGCCCCCTGGTGTTGTGTCACAAGCCTGTCCGGGTTCAAGGGGAGGGGTCGTAGGAGGTGTGTCACAGGAGATCTAAAATGCTCTCCACCCCAGAGGCGCTGGGAAGAACAGCTTTGTTCACTCAGCAGCATTTACTGAATCCCATGAGGACGTTGTCACACGTGGACCTCTTTCCTGGGGAGACTAGCTCTATGCACTTGCGAGTGACTGGCGATGGGCCATCAGTCTGTTCAGAGCCGTGGTCCTCACGCCCAGGTCACATCAGCATCACCCAGCAGGTTTGTTCCCATACCGAGTGCTGGGCCCCACCCCTGGGGTTGCTGACTCTGTAGATCAGGGCTGAGGCCCACACTTAGCATTTCCAGAATGATGCCGGCAGGAGAAGGTCTGCCCGAGCTGAGTTGACTCCTTTGCTGTGACTTTACTGAGAAGAGGTGCTAACGAGCAGTCCCCCAGGCCAGCAGGGGAGCAGCTCGGACAGTCCCCACTGGGGGTCCATCACACCCGGAGCTTCTCTCCTGCCCAGGTCATTAGAGAGATCTGTCCAGGCTGAAGCCTGTCTTAATATGACAGCAGCTGCCAAGACAGGTGGCCTGTACTTACCGCTGCCCCCTCGGAGGCCCCTGCTGTGTGCTTTGTGGGCAGGCCAGCCGTGCGCTCCCACCCCCGCCCCCTCAGGGCCGGGAGCAGGCTGCTGGCATCCAGGAAGGCCTTGCCCAGGGGCCACCTAGAGGGGGATTTTCTAGGCAGGACCTTGCCGCCTGTCGGCTAGTGTGCAGTTACTTAAGCTGGTCCAACACCAATTGTATTAGTTCCCAGGGAATCAGCCAGCATTCTTCTTTCTTCATGAAGGCTGTTCATTGGTTTCAAATGAAAGAGTTTAGGATTTTCTTAGGTTTGTCTGAAAAAAACCCCAACTGCTCTTTGTGAAAGAGAAGCACGATGCCCGATACTTCACACTTTTTACCCGAGAACACGCCTGTATCCCCGTGCCAGATGGAAGGGCCCAGCTTCCTGACTCCTGCAGAGAGCAGTGCAGATATTTGGAAGGAAGGGGGGTGGAATGGAACATCCCTGTTTCAGAAACCAACAGCAGCATCTTTAACGAGCAAGGGTATTTCTTTGAGTTTTTTCAGAGTTACCTTTCTCTAGCAATGTGATATTATGTAAAATGCATACAGAAAAATGTCTGTTATTAAGAAACTTCAGCATCGTATTTTTCCAAGGAAAACATTTTAACAGCCTTTTCTTACTTGGGGATTTCTAGGGAGTGTCCTTGTGGTCCATCACTGATCCGATTTGGAGGTAAAGCGAAAGAGTATTCACCAAGGGCCAGAATTCGTTCCTGGATGGGGTGAGTGTTGCTGCAGAAATGTTACTTTCTGTTCCTCAGGTCAGGGTCTGCTTTCTCTTGGCACCAAAACCAAACCATTAGAGAACTTGAGTGACATCTTCCAAAACGTCATCAGTGTCCCGTGTCCAGCTGTAGGTCGCTTGCTCTCCCTGACAGTTGCCACTGGTGGGCAGGTTCACTAGGGGGTCGCGGGTTGCTTCCAGTCCAACTGTAGGATTGAAGAAAGTTGTCTTGTGTGTTCTTGGCTCCGTCCTCTCTCTCCTCTCGTGATGCATCTCTGTAGACCTGTGCCCTTGGTGCTGCCCCCTTGTCTTCCAGCGGAGTCGGATTCTCAGCCCACACCTGCCTTTCCGCAGGACCTCAGCCAACCTCCCTGGCCTGGGTGTCTGTCCCGAGGTTGACCTTATTCCTTTGTAGCAGGTGAGCTGTCCTCTGATTGGGGCTCCTCCCATTCTCCAGCACCACCTTCCTTCAGCGCCGTGGCCTGTTCTCATCTCCGAGTCTCACCTCCCGTTAGATGTGGACTCTGAGAGCGGGCTTCTCCATTCACTGCTTTGCCATCTTTCTCCCTGAAACCAGAGCTGAACACCCCGCAAGCATTTTAACACTCACTGGCGTGTTTTTATTCCAGGTACGAATTGCCTTTCGACAGGCACGACTGGATTGTCAACCGCTGTGGGACAGAAGTCAGATACGTCATCGACTACTACGATGGCGGCGAGGTCAACCAGGACTACCAGTTCACCATCCTGGACGTGCGGCCCGCTCTGGATTCGCTCTCAGCCGTGTGGGACAGGATGAAGGTTGCCTGGTGGCGCTGGACTTCCTAACCACTGCTTTGTTAGAGATGGGAAAATACCAACTTATTTTTTTTTCTGAGCAATACATTAACTATTTTCCCCCAACTGAATAGCACTCATGATGTAGTAGGAATGCCAAGTGGGTCATCACACCTTGCATCTCACTTAGCAAAGGATACTCTGCACGTGCTCTTTTGAGTTCTGTTTTCACCTTGCAGTTTGCAGCAGATCTTTTTTTCTTCCCATCTAGGGACGAGGGAAGCACGCCCTTGGTTTTTCCTTTAACTGCGGTACTGCCTGTGTATTTAGAAAAGTCTGAACCAGCTCTGAGAAAGAACTTTGCTTAATGTGAAGAGCTGCTTTGTTCCTTCCTGTGTTCTCTTGAATACTGACATGTAGACCCGAAAGCCCATGGAATGCTCAGGAGCTTTTACCTGGTCAAATATTTTAATTAAAAGTGTTCTGTTAGGCTTTTTAAAAAGTTACCAGCATTTCTAAAGTCCTCACAACACAGCAGCGAGCCCTGAAGAAAATGTAGGCGCACAAAGGAAATGCACTCAGCCAAACTGTGGTGTGTCCAGGCTCTTCAAATTCTCGCCGACGTGAGTTTTTCAGCCTGGCCCTTGTTATAGAGTAGTTTCCACTCCCCCAGGACTTGATGCACGTGCACTGGAATATGTTTTAACTTTTTATATATTTTCATTTTCATCCCCGTTGTTCTGAGACGTAACTCAGCTCCCTGCAAGCAGGTCTCATTGTCCCTGGCATCTGACACCGTACCCTACCCTCGAGTCCCATCCCTCCCCTGCCTGAGGCCTTCCCTCTAGTCAGCCTAACCTGAACCTTGAAGGTCTGGCTCAAGTCCCATTGCTGGGGACAGTGCCTCTCAAACATGACGATGTTTTCTGGTTAGGCTTCACGAGAGAATTTTCCCAGATGTAGAATGTGTGCACCAACTCACTGTCTTGAGTTCAGGTTTGTTTTTTAAGGGAGCTCTAAATTAGCCTTTGAAATTCTGTGCACCAGTAACCCATAAACTGGTTGGTCCACTTACAGCAGCATGTTAAAAAAAATAACCAACAGTCATTTATAAGTGTTAATAATATTAACTCCTTTCATTTATCCTGAGTATTACAGGGCTAAATTAGTAGATGGACTTAATCTGGAGTGATTACTTTGGTATGAATTTCTTTGTTGTGTCTGTTTTGTGTGGAGTTTTAAGAATCCAACAACCTTAAACTTCTACATTTCAAAATATTTGTGTACTTTAAAATAAAATAAAGCTGACTAGCAAGTTTTGAAAAAATTTTTTAAGAGTAACTACACATAACAATCATTGTATCAGACAGAAATAATCTTTAGAGATGTACTGACTTCTGGTCTCCCTGCTAGGTCAGCCATTTTCTTAACTGTTAATCACATATTTCTAATCTACTGAGGAAAATAATTACTATTGGCAGGTATTTTTTGGTCCTAAGTGCTATTGAATAAGTACAGGGCAAGACATTATTATGAGAAATAAAGTGCTGTAACTGTAAGCTGAAAACTGAGCCACAGGCAGGAATTCACCCCTTTTACAGGGTTCTTCTATTTCTTGAGAAAAACCACCTCTAAAGTAAACTGTCAGACAAACCTGACGATAGCAAGTTCACACAGCCCTCCTCCAGCCCGGGGGGAGGACGGCAGCCTGCTGCACTCCGGGGCTGCCTGCGCTCCCGGCTGCATTTGGTTGTACCCAGTGGTCAGTACTTCTCTGGGAGGAGAGTTCATTTATAATTTGAAATTCATTTTGGATATTCTCCATTCTCAACTCAATTCTCTTAGGGTTTTCCACTAAGTCTTCTGTCACAGACTAATGAGAATCAGAACAAATGACGGTGCAGTAGGCTAAGTATTAACAAACAAGCTGGGGTGCAAGCTGGGGTTGCGTATTAAACTCTCGTATTCCTAGTAGCTCCCGGGCTAACGTCCGCTCCTGAGACGGCCGCCTACACTCTGCATCGTACTGGGAACGTAAGATGTATAAGGTGCAGCCCCTGCCTGCAAGGTGCTCAGAGTCCTACAGAGGACAGTCTATAAATGAAATAAATGGTGGTGAGGCACTAGACTTCTGATTTAAAGAAAGCTTTGTGTTAATCCAAGGGTTGAATGCAAGTTCACTTAAGTATTTTTAATGTATATGGAATATACAGTTACCAATTTCTTTAATGAGTCACCAGCATGGTCTACCCTCTACCAGAGTTACTCCACCCTCGCTGAAGTGAAGAGGCGCACATTTCATGTCTCACCTCTGCAATGACCGTGGGACTTGTGGATCACGTATGTCGCTACAGGCTTGAGGCTGTGTGGTCGTCAAGAATGCTCGTCCTTGAAAAGACACGCGCACCCCCACACCATGTTCGCTGCAGCATTATTTACAAGAGCCAAGATGTGGAAACAACTTAAGTGTCCACTGACAGGTTAATGTATAAAAAAAACAATATATATAGCAACTATTCAGCCATAATAAAGAATAAATTCTTGCCATTTGCAACAACATGGCAGGACCTTGAGAGCGTTATGCTTAAGTGAAATAAGCCTCACAGAGAACGACAAATACCATAAGATCTCACTTATATGTGGAATCAAAAAACAACCACTATCACCACCCAAAAACCGGAGCTCAGGGATAGAACAGATTGGTGAGATCTGTGGTTGCCAGAGGTTTGCAGGGAGCCAAGGCGAAATTCATGAATGTTGGGCCAACCGACATGCTTCAGTGTCCGACGACCCCCATTCCTGGGCTCTCAGATGTCTGACACTCTTTGCTGGGCATATTTCCCCAGCAAACTGACAGCCCCTGGTAATGGCCACCTTATCAGTCATAGCCCCCACCGCCCTGCACGGACCCTAAACCTCTTTCCTCACATAAAACCAACCAGAGACTTGCTCACAAGCTGATCAGGCACCCTGTGACCCGACCTTATAAAAGACCCCGACAACTGGCCCTCGGTGCTTGCGTAGGCACCCCTCGCCTGTGCGGCCCGCCGTTGTCTATGACAGCACACCCTAATAAACTCCTTTTTTATTCTTACACTTAATGTCTGGTGTCACTGACTCACCGACCGACCGCCCCGTTGTGTCCCACAACAATGAAGGGGGTCAAAAGGTCCAGATCGCCAGTCGTAAAGCAAGTAAGTCATGGTGATGTAATGTGCAGCCTGGTGACTAGAGTTGGTGATACTGACTTGCATATTTGAAAGCTACTAAGAAGCACATCTTAAAAGTCCTCAGCACAAGAAAGCAAAAAACTTTTGTGGCAGGCACTAACTAGTCTTACTGAATCCTCACCTTGGACACCTGACAGTAATTTATGGCAACTATACCTCAATTTTTAAAAAAAAAAGACAGAAAGAACATCCTAGAGGCAGATGGCTGGCTTCAAGCCACGACTCAGCCCTTCACTTGCTGTGTGATCTTAGTATCTCTGGGCCTCAGCTTTTTTGGCCACAAAAAGAATAACAGAACGAACTGATTTTGTTCCTCCGGGCTGCTATTACAAATACCACCCACGGGGTGGCTTAGAAACAACAGAAATTCATTTCTCACGGTTCTGGAGGCTGGAAAGTCCAAGATCAAGGCACTGGCACACCCGCTGTCTGGTAAGGATGGCGCCGTCTTGTTTTGCTCACGTGAGGGAAGGGCGGGAGGGTCCCCCTCCCCGCAGTCTCTTTTATAAGGGCACCAATCCCATTTCTGAAGGCTCCGCCTTCATGACCTCGTCACGCCCAAAGGCCCCACCTCCTAATACCTGGGGAGTTGGATTTCCACCTGTGAACTGTGGGCTTCAGAGCCCAGCGCCCAGCTAGCAGAGCTGGTCTGCGGGTCCTGACACCGGAAGGCACTTGGCACAGAGCCCGCAGCAGGGAAATGCTGACCGCCTGGCAGCTGCTGCCTCACCGTCACCCGCCAGGAGAGAGCACGGGGAGGAATAAGACGGACTGACCTCCTCCCCCAGGGAGGACTGTCTAGAGAGGGAACCTCAGAGTCTCCGCCTGATTTTGGTTCGTTGTAAGGATTAGCAGGCACGTGGTGCTTGCTCTAAGCGAGCTCCTGTTTTTTAAAACCGCTAAAGGGAAAAGACAGATAGCAATCTTTGACCTTTGAAAAAACATAAACATGAGAGCGACATTCAGTTTACTTAATATGCAAGATCCACTTGATAAAAATGAAGATTATAATTAGACCATTGTGTTTCCTAATCTGAAATGTATCTCAGTGTGCCCTCAGGATCAGGAAAGTATTCCCCTCGGTGAAAACTTACTAAGTACCTAGATGCAAAACAGCTATCACAAGGCTACGTTTACTGTGAGTAGGAGTACCCCAAAAATCATTTCAAAAGCAATATATTCGTCCCAATTTAAGGTAAACATTTCAAAGTGGCATCATTTCTTAGATATACAGCATATTAAGGTAACGTAGATCAGTTAGCCATCCACCCTCCCATAACAGAAACAATATGTATTATTGCTGCAGTGGAGTGAAGCCACGATACCTGAAGTGAAATTCCCTGCCATTGGTATATGTGGTAAATAATTACTTCCTGCTTCTGTGCGCTACTCCCTTGCTTTGATGAGAAAGCCGACGGCGCTTTCTACCAAGTATTTAATCTGGGTCGACACATCACGTAGCAACTATTCCAATGTTTTTGTGAAATCGTAGCAGGCACTTGAGGGGACATGCAAGTTTCTAAGACAAGTTTCTTCTTAGGGAGCCTATATCTCTGGGCAATGAGGCGTGGGCATATGGGTGCTGTCATATAGTTATAATTAGCCATCGCTTAATGCTTTAACACACATTGTCACGTATGATGGGGGCACGGATACTATTAATATTGAGTAGTTTAATGTTAGAATTGTGAGTAGAGAGAAGATTTCACAGTAACAGTTGAGTGGAGTCCTGAAGGATGACTAAAGGTCATTTTAGTGCTCTGTGCAGTCATCATTTAACCACTTTACTATATCCCTTCTACACTTAGGCTAAGTTCACGTCACTGGTTCCTGTGGCCCTTCAATAGCTGGGTATGAAATATTACCAGGATGCTTTTGGCAGCAAGTAACAGATTCTCTGCTGGGACTCACCACCGTAAGTGCAAGACTGGGTGTGCGCCTGGTCGATTGCACCTCTCTGGATGGCTTCTTCCATGCTCACTTTTCACTTCCTCCTAACAGGCTGATTCCTTTCATCATCATCAGATAGCTTCAGTTGCTGTCTGAGCTTTATGGTCCCAGTTTATGGCCAGTAGACGTGAGGTGGGGTGGGAGGGGGAAGTCACCCGCAGCCAATGGAAAATCAGGTTTCTCTTTAATCGATTTCGACCATTTGGCATTAGGCCTGTGTCCTGCGACCCCACCCCACCCTTTTCCATTCCCAGGAGAGTGCCTCATGCTTAGATTAACCCAGACGAATCATTTGGAGAAAGCGGCAGGCCCCACCAGAGAATTACACCACTATTAATTAAAAAACCTCATCCTTAGTTGTCATTTCATTAAAGTAGTTTTCCGTCATTCTCTTACGCCAGTGTTTCAAATCTGGAGATGGTGGCTGGGGTAATGGAAGAAGACAGGACTGGAGCTCTTCATTCTGTACTGATTCTCTGCATTGGCCAGGGGATGTGAATAATCACTTAAGTCTATAAGCCTCACTTTCCATAGATTCTCTTAAAGGTTCCTTTCAGACCAGAATTCTAGGTTTGATATGGCCTAGTTCTCTCACGTTTGGATGGACTGGGTTATGCCATGTTTTACGCTGGAGATTTTTAAGCTCAGGGAAAATAATGTGGTTTGAAAACCTACTTCCAACCGGTTTTTACATGAAGTACACCAGTAGATGCACTCTTAAAAGACCTACATTTCAGCTAATTCCCGGTTAACCGGCGCTTTCCTTTTCCTCTATAAAATGTGCTTAGAAACAACCCAGATGTCCATGAACTGATGGATGGATAAACAAATTGTAGTACACCTACACACGAGAATTTGCATTCCTAATGACAGTGCTCCCAGGAGATGCTGCTGCTGCCAATCATGGTTTGAGTTTCACTTTCCTCCCAGCATCCTTCACACCCTCTGCACTTCCACGCGCTGCATCTTTGTGATGCATTTACAACTGCCCTATATTTACACAGCCATGCGTCCAAGGTCCAAGTAGGAAATGTAAGAGCAAATGTTAAATGTAAATGCCACGTTTCCAGTTTTGCTTACCCCATGTCTTCCTGGAAGCCCTCCCCCTCCCCTCAGTTCTGAATGTTGC